CCCTTCCTCTTTTCTTTTCTTTTCTTTTTTCTTTTTCTTTTTGGTTTTCCAAGACAAGTTTCTCTGTGTAATAGTCCTTGCTAACCTGGAACTTGCTTTGTACACCAGGCTGGCCTCAAACTCACTAAGATTTGACTGCCTCTGCCTTCCAAGTACTGGGATCGAAGACATGCACCACCACCTCCTGGCCACTAGGTTATTTCTTAGCAATACAGAAGCTCTTTAGTTTTATGACGTCCTCAATTGTTGACTCAATTCCTGGGCAAGTGTAGTCTTAATTCAGAAAGTCCTCCCTTACACCTATACCAAATAAAGTGCTGCCTATGCTTTCTTGTAGTAGTTGCAGTGTTGGAGCATTCAGATTTAGATCTTTGATCCATTTGGAGTTAGTTTTTATGCAAGGTGATAGAAACTGGTATAATTTCATTCTTTTGCATACGGACATCCAGTTTCCCAGGACCATTTTTTGAAGATGTTGTCTCTTCTCCAGTTTATGTCATTGGCATCTTTGTCAAATATTAGATGTCTGTAGCTAGGCATACTCGTGTTTGGGTGTTTAATTTTTTTCCATTGATCTACATGTCTTTTTATGTGCCAGTACTGTACTGTTTTTATTATATGGCTCTGTAATATACCTTAAGATCTGGAATTGTAATCTCTCCAATGTGACTCTTTGTTCAGGTTTTTTCTTTTTTCTTTTTTTTTTTTGCTACCCATGGTCTTTAGTGTTTCCATATGAATTTTAGGATAGTTTTTTCTATTTCTGTGAAGAATGAGGTGATTTTTATTGGGTTGCATTGAATCTTTAAAGATTTTTTGGCAGAAAGTTATTTTCACAATATTGATTCTACTAGTCCATGAGCATGGTGTGTCTAGTGTCTTATCTTTTTCTTTTTGATTGAAAGTTTACATGGTAGAAATCTTTCACCTCTTTGTTTAGGTGTACTCCTAGATAACTTTATTTTCTTTGAGGCTGTTGTGAATGGGAATGTCTGTGATCTCCTTCTTAGTATGTTTGTTATTGGCTTATACTTCAAATTTTAAAAGTTGACAGATAGACTTCCCTGGCAGGGAAGACTGACTGACCCCTGCAGGTGTGGGAAACTTGATAGTATAATTGGTGATAGTGGGGGCACTGCATTCCCACTTTTCCTTATTAAATAATAAAAAAAAAAGGTTGACAGATTATTGGTGTGTGTAAATTCTCAACTGTGAGCAGTGTAAAAAAAAGTATTTTCATTTTGATACTAATTTCAGAGTAAAGTTGACTTGTTTGACTAATTGTTAGGCATTTTGAAATCTCAATATACTATTTACAATATATTGTATCTTTTTACCTGATTTATAAGTTTATTAGTTCATATTTAATGATTTCTAATACGTAATTTCTTTTCAGGCTCAACACAACACAAGAATGCTAGCTACTTATGCAGCTATTGACCCTAGAGTCCAATACTTGGGATATACTATGAAAGTGTTTGCTAAGGTACTTAGGAAGAAGTGAAATCTTCTGTTTTGTTATAATACTTATGATAGCCAAAGTGAAACATACTGGTGTTAGACTTGTAACAAATATTGTCTCAATTTTATTTATATAGGTTTTTTTTTCTTCATTTTCTTTTAAGATAGGGTCTTGCTCTGTTTCTTGGACTCAGGTGATCTCCCTGTTTTAATCTCCTGAGTTGTACTTGAGCTTTTTGTACATATTAATTTAATTTATTTACTTAAGTTTTTTAATTTATTTTTGTTACAAGGTCTCACTATGTACCCTCAGCTGGCCTGGAACTTGCTATTTAGACTAGACTGGCCTCAAACTCAGAGATCCTTCTGCCTCTGTCTTCGAAGTGCTAGGATTAAAAGTGTATACTACCATGCCTGTTTGGTCCCTGAGCTTTTAAAAAAAGATAGCTGATCCACAAGCTCCCCCGATTTTTTGTCTCTGCCCTTGGTGCTGAGTTCACAGGCACATGAAGCATTTCGGAGCTTTTATGTGGGAATTGGGGGTTTGAACTTGGCCCCTCTTGTTTTTTCACAGCAATTGCTTTATTCCACTGAGCCATTTTCCAAACCCTCATTTTTCTTTTTTAATTTAACTTAAAATTTTTTTAGAAGACATGTACTACGACTTTGTATAGATAGCTCCAGTACTTTTATCCTGAATTTTACCGATAAACTAATTTTTTCCTAATGTTTTGATAATATAACTATTCCAATTTTAAAATCAAATTTCTTAATTATTTTATAAATTTTTGAAGATAATTTTTGGAATGCAAATACTTGGTCACTAAATTTGTTTTGCTTTTCTTATTTTGATAGTGCTTGTTTTTCATAGCATTTGTATTAAACTGATTTTTAAAGAGTTGCTAGGCATGGTAATACACGCCTTTAATCCCAGTACTTGGGAGGCAGAGGCAGGTGGGTCTCTGTGAGTTCAAGGCCAGCCTGGTCTATATAGTAAGTTCCCAAACAGCCAGGACTCCATATAGAGTTACTTTTCATAAATAAATAAATGAATGAATGAATGAATAAAAAAGAATGGCATATCAGAGTAGTCAATGGTTTGTGGAATGAGAATATTAATTTTTATTTGTATTCATTCTATTTTCTAGCGCTGTGACATTGGAGATGCATCTCGAGGAAGTTTATCTTCATATGCGTATATCCTTATGGTGCTGTACTTTCTGCAGCAAAGAAAGCCACCAGTTATCCCAGTCCTGCAAGAGGTTAGTGTTAAACAGTACTGTAAAGCCCAGAGCATAGGGGCTGATGCCTATAGTCCTAACACTTGGACTACAGAGAAATAGGATTTTGAGTTCAAGGCCAGCCTGTCTTACGTAGTGTGTTTCAGGGCACCCTAAGCAACTGAGTGATACCTTATCTAAAATAGAACTGTTACAGGTGTTTTTAAGGAAATCATGGATTTAAACAGGAGAGCTTGCTGAGTTCATGACATTATGAGGGATTTTTCTGTCATGAATATTCTGTTTCCTATTAAAATTAATGCTATAATTAAATAGTGAACCTTTAGGAAAATTTATTATAGGAGAATATTGAATACCAAAGGGATATAAGGTAACTGGAACTATTGAGTATCTTTTATAGTATTTTAAAATGTTATAGTCTTAGAATATTTGCAGATGAGCTAAGTGGTGATGGCATACGCCTTTAATCCCAGCACTCAGGAGGCAGAGGTAGGTAGGTCTCTGAGTTCGAGGCCAACCTGTTCTACAGAGTGAGTTCCAGGATAGCCAGGGCTACACAGAGAAACACTGTCTCACCCTCACCTACTCCCCTAAAAAAAAGAATATTGTGGTTGTGTATCAGGTTCCTGTAGCAAACTCATAATATTACAGACTCTCACATGGAAATAAGAAGTTTCTTCTCTCTGGAGTACTTGCCCTCCTCCTCCTTCCTTATATAGTCCTATGTATGCTTTGACAACCTTGAAAAGTCTTGTCAAGAATAAGTAGGAAAGCTGGGCACTAGTGCCTCATACCTTTAATCCCAGCACTTTGGAGACAGAGGCAGGCAGATTTCTGTGAGTTTGAGGTCAGCCTGGTCTACAAAGTGAGTTCCAGGACAGCCAGGGTTACACAAAGAAACCTTGTCTGGAAAAAACAAAAACAAAAAAAAAAGTAGGAAAAATTTCCTCATTTCTTTTAAAGTCATACTAACTAAGCAGAAGAGTGCACTTGAAAGAAGGAGCTTATTATGTTCATATTTACCAAGAATTGGTGACTTAGTGTCAATTGATGTAGCCAGTTTATGCTCTCTGAAATAGGTGTAAAATAGTTCTTAATCTCCATTTGTTCTTCCCAATTTTGGGCACAAGAGTGGATTTGTGGGCATTAGAGAAGGTCCAGTTCTGTCTTCTTAGAAGTATAACTGTTTAGAGATAGGAGAAAAATACCAGAAGTATTTGGAAAACCACATATTCTTTTTGTTGTTGTTTGTTTGTTTGAGACAGGGTTTCTCTGTGTAACAGTCCTGGCTGTTTTGGAACTTTTTTTGTAGACCAGGCTGGCCTCGAATTCACAGATCTCTGCTTGCTTCTGCCTCCCGAGTGCTGGGATTAAAGGTGTGCACCACCATGCCTGGCTGGAAAACCAAGTATCTGTTCTCACATAAATTATAATATGTTGGCAAAGAAGAAAATGACAAAATATCTAGCCACGTGATATAAATATCTTACAGCTAGTCCTAAATTTTTAAATAGTCTCATGAATGATAGGGTTTTGGCAGTGCCTCCTTCCCGTTTTACAGTCAGTACCAGGGAAATAAAAATTTTAATTATTTTTCCCCCCCAGGAAAAAAATTTCTAACTAAGTACTATGTTTTTGGTATTAAAAAAGTCTTTGTGGTGCTGTGAATCAAGCCTCATACATGCATGGTAGGTGAGCACTACACTACTGAGACATATTTCCAGTCAAACCAGTCTGTATTTTTTTGTTAATTTTAAGATCACAGCAAAACTGAGGATTATGTAGAGATTTCTCATGTAACTCCTATTTGGGTAGGCATTTCTCCATTATCAACCTAATACTTTGTTAAAATTTGTGAATCTACAGTGACATGTCATAGTCATACCAAATCCATAGTTTGCATTTGTGATTCATGCTTGGTGTTGTATATCATGTAGATTTGGATAAATATATAATTATGTGCATATTGTTATACAATACAGTTTTTTTTCTTAACTTTGTCTTTGCTTTATCTAGTCATCCTCCATCCTGCCAACTCTTGGTAATCACTGATCTTTTTAGTATCTCCATAGTTTTGTCTTTGTGTAGAATATCAGATAGTTGGAATCACTTATACCCAGTATCTACCCTTTATGTTTGGCTTCTTTTTTACCCATTGTATGAGTCAGCTTCACGTTAGTACAATGAACTAGGACAGTTAGCCTATAATAAATGCTATATTTGGGCTTATGATTCCAACAAGTAGAGTTTAAGGTTAGTTGGCCCTTTTCTCTATTAGCATATCATATTTCATGTATGTGGTGGAGCAGGTTGCATATATTATGAGCTGGGACACAGAGACACTGAAACTGGGGTCTTACAATCCACTTATTGGACCTGCCCTCAATAACATAATAATTTCCCAGAAAAACCTAATAAGATCTTCATAGCATCATCTTGATGACCAAGCCTTTAACAGATTGTCCCAGTTTCATTTCTGTACTATGATAAAATATTCTGACAAAAAAGTAGCTTAGGGGAGGAAAGAGTTTATTTGGCTTAAACAGCTTCAACCTTGGTCCATAATTTCAGGGAATTCAAAACAGCAGGAGCTTGAGCTAGTTGGTCATGTCACATCCACAGTCAAGAGCAGTGAGAAATGAATACATCCATGCGCACTGCTTGCTTTCTGGTAATTGTCTCCTGTCTCTTCCCTCCAAACACCTTGGTAATGGTGTTTCCCATAATGTGGTGGGTCCTTCTATATGAGCTAACAATTAAGACAGCTCTCTACAGACATGTGTACAGCTCAACTTAATCTAGGCAATCCTTCATTCTTACTCTCTATCAGAGGTGATGCTAAGTTATAGCAAGTTGATACTCTCTGAGAGTTGGAGAATGGTACAGCAGCTTAAGAGCACCGACTGCTCTTGCAGAGCACCCAAATTCAGTTCCTAGCACCCACGTGGCAGCTCACAACCATCTGCAACTGAAATTCCTCTTCCAGAGGATCTGCTGTCCTCTTTTGGCTTCCCTGGGTACCAGGCACAAACATGGTACACAGACATAGGTGCAGGCAAAACACCCATACACATACAATAAAAATAAATAAATGGTTTACAATTACTCACACACATGGACTTTGGGGGAGAAGGGACTTAAATATTCAAATTAAGTAATATGCCTTTACATTTTCCTCATGTCTTTACATTGGATGTGTCAATTTCTTTATTTAGTCACCTACTGAAAAACATCTTGATTGCTCTTTTTTTTTTCTCGAGACAGGGTTTCTCTGTGTAGTTTTGGTTCCTGTCCTGGATCTCACTCTGTAGACCAGGCTGGCCTCGAATTCGTAGAGATCCGCCTGGCTCTCCCTCCTGAGTGCTAGGATTAAAGGCGTGCACCACCACTGCCCGGCCCTTGATTGCTCTTAAGTTTTGACAATTATCATACAGATGATATAAAGATCCACATAAATGAATTTGGCTTGATGTATTCATGTAATCCCAGCAGTTTGGAGGCTGAGGCAGAAAGATTGAAAGTCCAAGGCCAGCTCTGACTGTGGAGCAAGACATTGTGTCAAAATCAAACAAACAAACAAAAAAATCAAGCCGGCCAGTGGTGATGCACGCCTTTAATTCCAGCACTCAGGAAGCAGAGGCAGGTGAATCTCTGTGAGTTTGAGGCCAGCCTGGACTACCAAGTGAGTTCCAGGAAAGGCGCAGAGCTACACAGAGAAACCCTGTCTCGAAAAACCAAAAGGAAAAAAAAAAGGCTGGGGAAGTAGTTGTGTTTGTAAAGTGTTTGCCTAACATGCATGAGACCTTGGATTTGATTCCCAGTCCTAAATAAAGGAGCTCTAAAGGTGCCTGTCATACTTGCTTTTGGAGATGGAAGTAGAAGGCTCAGGAGGAGATCAAGGTTATTCTCAGCTACATACTGACTGTAGCTAGAGTTTCCCTGCCTTGCCCACAGTCAGGACAAATCTTTGTCACCCACCAGTCCCACAGCCGCTCAGACCCAACCAAGTAAACACAGAGACTTATATTGCTTACAAACTGTATGGCCGTGGCAGGCTTCTTGCTAACTGTTCTTATAGCTTAAATTAATCCATTTCCATACATCTATACCTTGCCACATGGCTGGTGGCTTACCGGAGTCTTCACATGCTGCTGGTCATGGCGGTGGCTGCAGTGTCTCTCTGCCTCAGCCTTCCGCTTCCCAGAATTCTCCTCTCTCCTTGTCCCACCTACTTCCTGCCTGGCCACTGGCCAATCAGTGTTTTATTTATTGACCAATCAGAGCAATTTGACATACAGACCGTCCCACAGCAACTGACTTTGAGGCCAGTGTGACTACATGAGACCCTGTCTCAAACTGACAAAAAGATCCAATTTTTGATTTTCATGTGGGTGTAATTTTTAAGTCTTCCAAGTAAACACTATTAAGCAGGATTGCTGAACAATGTGCGTATTTAGTTTGTTAAAGTGAAACTGCTGAACTCCAAAGTGGCTGTACCTTTTTTATTCTCTCTAGAAATGAGGGAAAGTTCCTCTTGATCCACGCCCTTACTAGAATTTGTGTTATATCTGTGTTCTGTACTTTGGCCGTTCTATTAGATGTGCTGTGGCGTTTCATTGTTTCAGTCAGTATTTACCCATTACTTATGTTAGAGAGCATCTTTCTATATGCTTACCTGTTAGGTTTAGGTCCGTAGTATGGTGTATGTTAAAGTCTGACCAATATCTTTTATTGTTTATATGTGTGTGTCTATCTAAGGGAATACCATGTGGGTGCAAATTCCCCAGCGTGTGCTGGGAACCAAACTTTGGTCCTCTCTGAGAGCAGCAAGTGATTTTAATCAGTGAGCCATCTCTCCACCATGATCTTTGGCAAAATTTTTAAAGTGGACAGCACAAGGAGAAGACTGAATTCAGGGAGGAGTCAAGTCTGAGGGTCAGGCAAGGACTGGAAAGAAAAATACAAATTGGCTCCAAGGAGAAGCAGAGAAAGATGTTTCATGACTATGCAGATATTTCATGACACACAGTGCCAGTGCCTAGCTTAGCACTGCCAGAGGGAAAAGAGGCCTGTAGATTTTTTTTCTTGTCAAGTTAAAACAATTTTCTACAAGGTTATGGAAGTCTTTTGTTTTTATTGTAGTTTTAATTTTGTTTTTTAAATTTTGTTTAAATTTTATAAAGGTTTTGTGTGTAGCACTTGGTTGGTCTAGAACTTGGTATGTATCTGTACCAGACTGGTCTTGGTGACCCTTATACTTCTGCTTACTTAATACCAGGATTGTAGTCTTGTAACACCATGCCTAGCTATTTTTGTCCTTTTGGAGATACAGTTTTTTTTTTGTGTTTCCCAAGCTTTTCATAAACTCTGAGTTTATTTGATTTTCTTGAATTTGGAAGTAGTTGTGTGTCACTGTGTTTGGTTTTACTTTCCTTTTCATGAATGAGTATTGAGTTTTGTCAGTTTGTCAGTTGCTTTTTCTGAGTCTATTGATAATGGTAATATTTAATTTTGCTTGCTAATGTGATAGATTAGTTTGAATTTAATTAGTTTATTTATTCATTTTTGGTTTTTCGAGGCAGGGTTTCTCAGTGTAGTTTTGGTGCCTGTCCTGGATCTCTCTCTGTAGACCAGGCTGGCCTCAAACTCACAGAGATCTGCCTGGCTCTGCCTCCCCAGTGCTGGGATTAAAGGCATGTGCCACTGCCACCCGGCCTGAATTTTATATTTTGAACCAGTCTTGAATACTTGGGATGTATCTCAATTGGTCTTGATTTACAAATTTTTTTGATATATTGTTGGATTGTGTCTTGAATGTTACTAGGTATTGATTTAGTTTCTTTCACTGATACATTCCTATTCAGATTGTTGTTTTTCCTTGTGTGCATTTTGGCAAAATGTATTTTAAGAAATTGGTCTAGTTAGGTGTAATTGGTCTAGTTGGGTATAGTCTCATACTTGTAATTGAAGCACTTTGGGATGCTGAGGCAGGAAGATTGTGACATCAATGCCAGCCTAGACTACAGAGTGAAACTCTGTCTCAAAAAATAAACAGATAAACATAAAGGCTAGGGATTTAGCTCATTTGGTAGAGTGCTGGCCTAATATGCATGAAGCCCAGTGTTTGATTCTACAGTACCACATCCACCAGATGAGGTGTGTGCCTGTAGGCCCAAAACCTGGGGAGATGAGGGCAGAAGGATCAGGAGTTTAATGTCATTCTGAGCTATATACTGAGTTTGAGAGTATCTTGGACTACCATGAAACTAAGCAAGTAAGAAAGAAAACAAAAGAAAAAGCAAAGAAAGAAGAGTCTAGTTTATATAGGTTATTATATTTGGGAATAGAGAGTTCAAAATATTGCCTTTTATTATTTATGGGATCTATTGTTCTGATTTCTTATTTTATTTTATGTTAATTTATGTTCCTGTTTTTCCCCCTTATTGCTGGTTATAATTTTTTTTTTTTATTTTGTTGTCGTTTTGTTTAACGAAAAGATGCCGATTAACTTTGAGGTTTGAGTTCTTGGACTTTAGCCTCATTTGCCTTCCCTCCAGACATGGAACTCTGCTACCTTGAAGCTGGAGAGCAGGGTAATGGGCCACAGAGGGTGAGCATCCAGGTTCTTATTTTAACACTACCATTCCAGAGAAATATTTTATTTACCTGTTTTGTCTGGAGCCACGTTGGGAAATTAACAGTAGTTTTTCTTATTCCAGAAGACACGATCTCCATGGGTCCATTGCTGTCCATGTTAACTTTCTTCCCTCTCATCTAAACCCACTCCATGATCTTTTTTCCTCTATACACATTGAGCAGGTTTTGAATCTATATACTCTGTGTCTCTCTGCCCCCCATGAGTATTACAGCTTTCATTTCTTCCTCTTCTTCTTCTTCTTCCTCTTCTTCTTCTTCTTCTTCTTCTTCTTCTTCTTCTTCTTCTTCTTCTTCTTCTTCTTCTTCTTCTTCTTCTTCTTCTCCTTCTTCTCCTTCTTCTTTTTTTTTTTTTTTGAGACAGGGTTGCTTTACATAGCTTTCCTGGAACTCAAGGTAGACCAGGATGGCCTTGAACTCACAGAGATCTGTCTGCCTTTGCCTCCTAAGTGCCAGGATTAAAGGTGTGTACCACTATGCCCAGCTCTCACTTCTATAAGTTTTTAAATTTATCATTAATTAATTAATTAGGCCTGCCAAAGCCAATTTTATCACTTTCTATGTTTGTCTGATTATTGAGGCTTTGAATTTGGGGAGCTGTGGTATTATTCACATATTATTTATACTTTGTTCTTTTGACAGCATATGATTAACATGAGTGGGCCACAGATTGTGTTTTCACAGTATTCTTTCTCTGATCTCCCATGGATTAATAATCATTGGGGTAGCATGGGCTAATATATGCAGGTATGTTATTTGGGCTCAGAATTTAGTCAGACTCATAATTCTGATAGTATGGACTTCAACAAGCTGCCTAACCTCTATGATTTTGAGTTTCATTATCAATAAAAATGTAATACCGATGGCAGATGTAAAGTGGGAAGATTTCAAGTTTAGGTTACATAGTTAGATCCTGTCTTAACAGACAAAACCAAACAAAATGTAATAGACTAGTTTTCCAGTGGTGTCTCGCATAGCATAGACACTGAAGTGGTGCATGGGTGGGTGCATGTCTGTAATTAGCAGGAGAATCGGCCTCCAATTTAAGACTGGGATATAGCAGTTCCAAAAACCACTAACTGATACATAGTAACACACTTTTCTTCAAAGTTAGAAAACAAGGGCAAACTGGGCAGGCACTCTTCCTTTCAGAAGGCAGAGGCAGGGGACCTCTGTGAGTTCAAGGACAGCCTGGTCTACATAGGGAGCTCCAGGCCCATCAAGGCTACATAATGAGAACCTCTCAAGCAACCTAATAAATACAACCGAGAAACTGAATGCCTTTTTACAATAGATATAAAAGTAGGTGTTCATAGTGTGATTGTTTTAATTATTCTTTTACCATTATTTTTTGATTATTATAATTACCAAAATTATTGTTACTGTTGGGAAAATATAATAAAATCTTTTATTAAACTTAAGAAAACTTTCCCATTATCTATTTTTAAAATATTTCTTCTAGTTTTTGAGATTATAATATAATTACATCATTTCCCTCTTTGCTTTTCTCCCTCCACACCCTCTCATATACCCTTCTTGCTTCATGAATTTGCTGTTATTCTTATGCGTAGTCCATGCTGATCTTCTCTGTGTCCCTTCAGTTTTAGTATATGTACTGTTGAAAGAGAATACCCCATTATCTGGTTAACATATTATAATTGTTAAAATGACAGTCAATTAATGGACCCAGTATTGTGGGTCGACACTGATAACTCCAGACTGATACGTACATTTTTGCTTCCAGCTCTTTCTGGTTGTCATAACGTTTTTGTTGTCTGGTATTATTTAAGTACTGGCTATTGGCACGGATCTTTTTTTAATGTTAAGGATATATTTAGTAACGTTACTTATCTCTGGCTTCATTTGCAATTGAAGCTAACTTTAAATATCTGGTTATTAAGGTTTAGTCTGGGTTTTGTTTTCTGGTGCTGTGTATTGATCCCAGAGCCTTATTCATGCTAGGCAAATGCTGTATCAATGAGGTATATCTCAAGTTCCCTTACAATTTTAAATATTTTATAAGCTTATAATTTTTATGTTATATTACAGATTATATCTTATGACATCTTGTTAAATTGCTAAGGCTGACCTGATAGTTGGTATTATTCTGCCTATCTCCTGAGTAGTTGGGGTTTCAGGTATAAACCATACTATGTGTTGGCTCTTGGAGTGTTTTGTTTTTGTAGTACTGGGGTTGAACCTCTAGGCTAAGGCTCCACCACCAAACTGAGTTCCTAACCCTTGGAGGTTTTTTTTGTTTGTTTGTTTTGTTGTTGATCAATAATACGTTCAGGTTAAAAGGAACTTTCTTAAGCAGAGTTTTTTCTTCTGTTCTAGCAAATCATAAGTCCAAGAAAATTCTTTACATAAAAATTAACAGTAAAAGAGATTTAGGAGTATTGTTCTTAGTTGATTACATGAAAATTTATGCTTTCTTAAACTATATCAACTGGAAAATTAAATTAATCAAAGAACCTTGAGGACATTATGCCAAATGAGGTAAGCCAGTTAATAAAGAGATATAGTATTTGATTCCAATTAGGTACTTAGAATAATCAAATTTCATAGTTACACAAAATAGAATGGTGAATTGTAGTTGCCAGCAGCTGGGAGAGGGATGCATGGAAAATAACAATTTAACACATACAGAGTTGTAGTTTTACAAGAAAAAGAAAAAAAGACTAAACGGCTGATGGTAGCTCAGTACTGTGAATGTACTTAATGACAACAAACAAAATGTTTAAGATAGTAAATTTTGCCTTAACGCAACTAAAAAAAAAAGTATAATTTTGGTATAGGAGTAGATTGTGAACATTATAACAATAAAGTAGACAAGTTTCTTAAACATGACTTTTGAGTTTTTGGTACTTGGGATTGAAATTGGGTCTCCTACATGCTAAGCAAGCTGTACCAACCATTGAACTACATCCCTAGCCCTAACATCTAAATCTTTAATGCTAGAAGCTTTCACTTTTTCGAGAGCATGAACCCAGGGCCTTGCACATGTTAGGCAAATACTCAACCACTGGTCTACAACTCCAGTTCCAGACTCCCTGTTCTATCTGTATCCTGTCCTAACGTCTCTAGGACTGCAGGGGTATAGACAGCATCATGGCCAGCTTTTATGTGGGCTCTGAGAAGCAGGTGCTTCACCAACTGAAACATCTCTCCAGCTCCCACGTCTTTTGCTTCTTTGTTGTTTTGTGAAGTGCTAGAAAACACACTAAACAATTTTGGGTGACTGTAGTTTTCTAAATTATAGGTAAGTATTCCAAAGCTACTTACTTAGCTTAATCTTTGTAAACTTGATGTTTAACACACATACTGGATTCAGTCAACAATTTGTATATGTAAGCTTTGGTTTATTGAGGTTTTGTGCTTCACACACAGGCTGTAACTCTTTTGACCATAAGGAATTTAAACCTGAGAATGAAATCTTAAAGGCCAGACAGATAGGAGTGCAAGCAAGTTGCCTAAGGGCCACAGGATTTACTTATCAAGTGATTGGAAGCACTCTTCGGGTTCATTGTATTTGGGGCTCATTGCTGTCTGTCTGTATGTTGGGAGACGTGAAGACAGAGAAAGAAAAGCTGTGCCATGTAAAAACACTTCTGCACCTGGACTGGTGGCAGAGGTGGTAGCACACACCTTTAATCCTAGCAGTAGAAGGCAGAGGCAGGCAGATCTCCAAATCAAGTTCAGCCTGGTCTAAATAGTGAGTTCCAGCTCGTACAGAGCTACATAGGTAGATCCTATCTGGGGGGAAAGAACATAAACATATGTAAGTAAATAAAAACAAACAAATATTAAATTAATAAGACACTTCTGCTTGTTATTTATTTCACATGTCAGTTTTCAAGAAGGTTACTTATATTTTATGGAGCCCCGCAGGACGGCTCAGCGGGTGAAGGCCCTTGTCCTCAAAACTTGAGTTTTGTCTCTGGGATTCAATGTGGTGGAAGAAGAGAACTGACCTCTATGAGCAAGTTGTCTTCTGACCACCTGTGTGATGTGTGTCATGGCACATGCTCTTGAGCGTGTGTGTGAACACACGTACACGATAGATAAATGTAGTTTTTTTTAAAGTAAAAAAAAAATTTTTTTTTTTGCACCTTTCTTGGAACTTGCTTTGGAGACCAGCCTGGCCTCGAACTCACAGAGATCTGCCTGCCTCTGCCTTCCGAGTGCTGGGATTCAAGGCGTGCAAAATTTTTTTGGGGGGTGGAGGGTGGAAATACGACTCAGTGGTTAAGAGCTCTGGTTGCCCTTCCAGAGGATCTGGTTTCAATTTCCAGTACCTATGTGACACCTAACAATCATCTATAACTCCAGTTTTAGGGGATCAGACATCTTCCTGGTCCCTTTGGGTACTGGGCACACAGATGGTGCACAGAAACATGTAAGCAAGACACACACGTAAAATAAAAATAAATAAATAAATTTTAAGTAAATTGGGGACTATAGAGATGGCTCAGGCAGTTAAGAGTACTTTCTGCTCTTGCAGAAAACCCAGATTTAATTCTCAGCACCCTTGTGGACAGTTTACAATCTCCTGTCACTCCAGCTACAGGAGATCTGATGCCTCTAGCTTCCTTGGGTACCCGCACTCACACATACCCACATTAGTAATTAGAAAATAAATACTTTTTTAAAAAGTTAATTTATAAACTACTTGTGTATTTGGCAGAATGGGCCAAAAGCTGATGTTGTGACCCATTTTGAAAATAAACGATCTTGAAATAAAAAAAAAAATTCATAATTTGTTTATAAAGTTGTCGTGGAAAGCTACCTAATTTTCCATTAAACATAATCTGGTATCTAAGTTTACTGTCTTATCAGATATTAGTAACTGATAAAATGTACTAGGGAACAGTGATACTGATTTCCTTTGGGTATATAATCAATATTATCTATTGATAACTACATTTATAATCCTTTACTCACACACATTTTTCTTTACTTTGATTTTACTATATCTTGGGCTGGATGTATTTAGATAGGCCAAACAGGTAGCATCAGATATTATTAATATCAAATAGTAATCGGAGAGTCTGATACTCTTAAAATAGACTTTCTCAGCTTGGTTTTAGGTATATTCTCATTAATTAGTTACTTGGTATCAAGTTATCACATCCTAGTGTTTTTCCTTGGGAAGTAATTCATTAATGTCTCCTGTAGGTAAATTCTGAAATGATAATGAAGGCTTGTAGGCCTATGGTTTGGATAACTGAAATCTAACTATAATATTTTTTATACAGATCTTTGATGGAAAACAGATTCCACAGAGAATGGTTGATGGATGGAATGCTTTTTTCTTTGATAAAACAGAAGAACTGGTAATTTTTGTTTAATTTTATATTGTAGAATGCTTACTGATGTCAGGATTTCATGGTTTAATAATTTTTACTTGCTTTTAATTTTTATATTTTTAATAATATGCCTATTTCTATCTTCTTTTCCCTTGCCCTTTTCTTCCATCTTTCTCTTTTCCTTCCCTTTTCCTTACCTGAAGAAAAAGCGTTTGCCTTCCCTTGGAAAGAACACAGAATCACTAGGAGAGCTTTGGTTAGGACTACTTCGCTTCTACACTGAAGAGTTTGATTTTAAGGAGTATGTAATCAGTATTCGGCAGAAAAAGCTGTTGACCACTTTTGAAAAGCAGTGGACATCTAAATGCATTGCAATTGAAGGTGATTGTTTATATTATTGTTAATTCAAGAACCACAAGAAAAATTAGCAGGGAAAACTTCTCTGAAAGTGTCAGCCTCTTGTTTTCTGTCACTTAATACTTTAAAAGAATAATTCACAGCCGGGCAGTGGTAGTGCACACTTTTAATCCCAGCACTTGGGAGGCAGAGACAGGTGGATCTCTGTGAATTTGAAGCTAGCTTGGGGAGTGAGTTCCAGGAAAGGTGCCAAAGCTACACAGAGAAACCTTGTCTCGAAAAACCAACAAATAAATAAATGAATGAATGAATAAATAAATAAATGGGTGGATGGGCGGGTAAATAAATAAATAAATGGATAAATAAATGAATAAAAATAAAAGATAAAATAAAATTCACTGGGTTGAATAGTTTGAAAATATATAGAATTAGACTCCTCTTCCTGCAAAGTCCACTTTATGGTGTAGTACTTATTAATTAACAAATATTTCTTTTCTAGATCCTTTTGACTTGAATCATAATCTTGGTGCTGGTGTTTCTAGAAAAAGTAAGTTTTAAATATAGAAAATGTTCCTTTAACACTTTCGACATAGGAGCTGGGTGGTGGTGGCACACACCTTTAATCCCAGCACTCGGGAGGCAGAGCCAGGTGGTCTCTGTGAGTTTGAGGCTAGCCTGGTCTACAGAGTGAGATCCAGGAAAGGCACCAAAACTACACAGAGAAACCCTGTCTCAAAAAAAAGGAAGTTCTGACATAGTAATGTCTGCATCTTTTATCATCTTCTTTCTTCACAGTGACCAATTTCATTATGAAGGCATTTATCAATGGAAGGAAACTTTTTGGTACCCCCTTTTATCCACTCATTGGCAGAGAAGCTGTAAGTTTACATTATTTGGAACTTTCATCCTTTTCTTCTTTTCTTATAGAACTTCATTGTCATTGAGGTTTTTACAGATGGCAAAGTGAAAGGGAGCAAAACTTCAGATGTAGATTTCCCAATCCTGAAATAACAGAAAAGACAGATCCGAAGTACTTGCTTACCGTGGCTCCTCTCAGCCTCTGCTGTAGCTGTGGTGCGCAGGGTTAGACTGCAGGAAGGGCTTCCTCCTGACCTGGCTTGTGTTTGTCACCTACTGTTGTCTCACTCAGCTTTTGCTTGCTTCCTATTGGTTAGGAGGCCAGAGGAGGTTTCAGGTTTAGAGGAAGAGACTTTTAAGAGAAAAAAAATGTGGAGTGAGTAAAACCATGTATTTTATTATCACATAATGAATGTCCTTGAAAACTTGTTCAGTCTAGTTTTAAAACTCTTCTTTTTATGGTGGAGTAAAAGCAGAATCTTTTGTCCTCGGAACACTGGTTCTCATGTATGTTTATTTTTGTTAGCCTCTTTGCAGGCAATAATTATATTGGAGATAATTAAATAGGAAATTTTAAAACACAAAAATTATGAAAAAAATTATTTACTAAAAATAACATTTTTATTAATGCATTAATTGACATAGCAATACACATTTAGTGATATTTTACCTGTAAATTGTGGAATACTATTTGTGTGCATGTTCAGTGGGAACCTAGTAGTGGAAGTACACAGTGCTGTACCAGAGACCTCAATTAAAAATGTTAGTAATCCTTTTATAATCCAGTACATTGCAACTAGTCCCTACTTATATGTAGATTTATATTTAGTTTTGTTTAATTCATTTAGTATTAAAACCAAATGTTATTTTGATGTCTAGAAAGAGGACCCTTTGAGCCTCTAATCATCTTTTTAATCTTCTTACTTATTCTATTTAAATTTTTAGTGTATGGTATTTTATAGCTTACAGCCCTTTTTTTAGACATTTGTCTTTATTATATCAGTATTGTAACTTATGGGAACTATTCATTGTCTTTTATGTTTACAATTAATTTCTTTTTCACTGCTAAATATGCTGGATACTTAGAGGATGTTCCGAAAGATTAAAGTATGCTGGGCTTGGTGACTCAACAGTTGTAATTTCAGCCATTGTGAGGTGGAAACGGGATCAAGGCCAGCTGTGATGAGGCCAGTGTAGGATACATCATGATATCCCATCTCAAAAAGCCAAAACACACACATATATACATGCACACATGTGCACATAACCACGCACACGCAGACACAACACTGTGCACAGATAAAAGTATACATTCTACTTTTTCATCCTTCTTATTTACTCAGATATTCCCACTTTATTTTTTCTACTATTTGGTCCTCTAATATATATTAACCTACTTTCTTATCTATCAGTTGTCTTCTGTCTCTCTTTTCTTTTCCCATTTGACCCTGTCTACTTTCTGGTTTATACTTTTCCTCATTCTATAGTAACTACTGTCCATGTATGTTCAACCTTACACTAACTCCAGCTATCATCTATCTGTCTGCTTTGAATAGCACCAATGAGAAAAAAGTTATAAAACCTAGGCAATTTTTTTTTTCTTAAGAGACAAGGTTTTCTCTCTGTCCTGGAACTCACTTTGTAGACCAGACTGCCTTTGCACTCACAGAGATCTTCCTGCCTCTGCCTCCCAAGTGTTGGGATTAAAGGTGTGCATTACCACCACCCAGCTAACCTAGACAATTTCTAATGTATAGTACAGCTACAAATTAATACTTGCCACCCTTCACTGGACTTTTAGTATAGTTTGATTGTAGCTGGAAGTTTCTTGGTCCTGCCCGGTCCGTATCAGGACGAATCTCTCTTACCAGTGTCCCACAGCAGCTTGGTCCTAAGCAAACACATAAAGGCTTATATTATTTACAAACTGTATGGCCTATGGGTCAGGCTTCTTGTTTGCTAGCTCTTAACTCAACCCATTTCTATTAATCTATATGTTGCCACGTGGCCATGGCATTACCACCTGTCTGCTGGCATCTTGTTGCTCCTTGGGTGGAGAGCTGTTATCTGTCCCCACTCCATCCTTCTCTGTCTCACCTTTAGTTTGAATGTACCGCCTAACCTTATCCTGCCCTGCCATAGGCTAATGCAGCTTTATTTATCAACCAATCAGCATCACATATTTACAGCGTACAGAAACACATCCCACAGCATTTGATAGTCTTACTGTATCTTTAGTTACTTGTAATCTCTCATTCTATAAAATGTATTTCAAGTGGCTAATAGCTCCTGTAAAGGACCTGAGTTCAGATCCAGCATCCATATTAGCTTCCAAATATCTGTAAGTACAGTTCCAAGGGACCTGACCCCTCTTCTGGGCTCCATGCCCACCAGGCATATATATATATATGCATGGTGTACATACATCAATGCAGGTACTCACACATACACGTAAAAGAATAAATCTTTTGTTGTTGTTAAAGCATTTTAAATTTTGTTTTACTCAAAATTCACTAAGTCCTATACTTTGTCCCACTTTGTTATTTCTTAGTTCTTTTATTTTCCTCCCTTCCTCCCTCCTTCCTTCCTCCCCTCCCTCCCTCCCTCCCTCCCTCCCTCCCTCCCTTCCTTCCTTCTTTCCTTCCTTCCTTACTTCTTCCTTTCTGTTCTTGTTGTAAGAGATGAATTACAGGTGAATATTTGTCATGGATTTTGATAGGGAACACTTATCTTTTCATCTCAATTAAATGAATTACTCTCTTCACATGCATACTCATAAAATTATGGTTTTCTTAATTAGTAAACTTAAATTGTATAAATTATATTCATTACTGACATTCTGAATGTCTTAAGTTTATAGTTTTGCATAATTTTGCTTTTCATTATGTAAGTTCTTATATTTCATGTTTGACCACCACCTAATCTCCTTAAAGTATTTGAGTTTTACAAATCTCAAAAGCAGGTCACTTTAAGTGATGGTGAGGTAGCGGAACATAAAGAAATTCAGGAATAGAATGGTCACTGCTTGACGATTACTTAGAAGTGATGGATAAGAAAAACAGAATGATGGATGGTGCCTGTTTCTGCCTTAAGCCACTGGTGAACTGAGGAAGGACTTTGTTGTTGCTCTTGTTTTGATAGGAAATCGAATTGTAGCTATACGTAGTAGACCATGCCTGTAATCCCAGCGCCTGGGTGTAGCAAAGGCTTGTAGGCCTCAGTCATGTGGCTTCTTAAGTCTGTCTGAGTTTATTTCTATGTCCATTCTGTGCATGTTTGGACTTCTTTACTCGTTTTCTGAAGATTTCCTCCCTGCCATATGGCTACCTGCTTCCATGTACCATACTAGCTTAAACAGTTTTGTTGAGGTGTAATTCTGATAAAGTATAAATCAGAGCTTTGAGTTATTCAGAATATTTGGTAACCATACCACCAAAATTTCATTATTTTTAATTTCTGAGGGTTGATTTTTTTGTTTTTTAAGATTTATTTTGTGTTTTAATTATTTGCATGTGGGTTGGTGCCTGGGTGTGTGCAACTGAGTTCATAGAAGCACCAGATCTACTTGTAGCTAGAGATACAGACAATTGTGAGTTGCTCAATGTGGGTGCTTGGGATTGAGTTTGGGTCCTCTGCAAGAGCAGTAATTGCTCTCAACTGCAGAGCTGTCTTTCTAATCCTTACCCACACCTCTTTTACAGAGACATATACACACTTGTTTTTGTTTTTAACGAAGAGGAAGCATAGGAGGTTTATTAAGGAAGTCAGAAAGAACTCCTGAGAACATGCAGGGCTCCAAGAGTGTTTCTCTTTCCCATTCTTAATCGACTAGCATTCTTTTTTAGATTTTACTCTTTCTTGTTCATTTAGAATCATATAATATGTAGTTCTTTGGTCCTGGTTTCTTTCGCTGAACATATTTTTAAGTTTCATCTGTGATGGAGGATGTGTCAGTTCTTTATTTCTTTTATGGCTGAATGTAATATTCTACTATATAAATATACCATATTTTATTCATCCATTTGTTTAATTGTGTTGCTTCTATGTCTTAGCTATTATGAGCAGTGCTTTTATGAATATATGTATAAGGTTTTTTTGCTGCAGGAATGTATGTTTTTATTAGATTACACCAAGAAGTGGAATTACTGATTTGGTTGAATATTCATGTGCATGTGTGTGTGCGTGTGTATTTTTAATGTAGCTGTGCTATTTTATAATATAATGCTGAAATATGTATGGTTTTCAGTTTTTCTACACTGACCATTGTTTGTTTTTGTTTGTAATTATTTTTATTACCATTCTATTGGGGTATTTATCCCAGATTTTTACATGGACTTATATAGGCAGCAAAAAAGCTCTCTTGGCTTCCAGAAGTATTCCTACTGTTAGGATAAACTCTACTGTTAGGGTAAGCTAGTGTTCCTGAAAAATCAAGCACTAAAAGAAGGATGAGCAAGGTAGGAGGATAGAAGAGAAATGAACTTAGTTCTAAGACTTGGAAAATGTTTTCTGGCCTTCTCAGGTACATTCTATGTTATATAGTAAATGTCACTTCTTTAAAAGCTGTTTGCAGAGCTAGAGAGATGGCTCCAGGGTTGAGAGCACTTTTAGTCTTAGCATCCACATGAGCAGCTTGCATCCATCTATAACTCCAGTTTCAGCAGATCTGATGTCCTCTTCTGGGCTCCTGGGCTCCTGCATGGTCTATGTAAACTCACAGCCAAATACCCATATACTTTTTTTTTTCCTTTTAAATTGCAAATCCAATTGCATTTTAAATAATCATAATGATTTCTTTCCATAAAACCATTTGGAAAGATGAGCAATTCCTTTGTAGAAGTAGCCTGGTGTAACAGAAAGCTTGAGTTTTGTAGTCACTACAGATAAAACTTTAAATCTTTTATATGAGATTTAGCTAACTTCATTACCATGTGTAAACAATTTGAATCATCTGAGCTGCAATTTCTTTGTCTATAAATTGAAATTGAAAATAGTATTTACTTTTGAGATTTCACTTATCTGTAGCCTCTTTACATTGTACTGTATAATTTGGACGTAAAGTATTTAGTACTTTACCACCTATGATGTTGACAATAATTCTGAACTTTATTTTCTTACAGTTGTTAACCTTCGTATTTTTTTTACCTTGATCTCCTGTGCATTTGGGAAGTTTTATATTGATTTTTTTTAAAGTAGTATAATTATTATTTTTTTCAGGAGTACTTCTTTGATTCAAGAGTATTAACAGATGGAGAACTGGCTCCTAATGATCGTTGTTGCCGTGTATGTGGAAAAATAGGTCACTACATGAAAGATTGTCCCAAAAGGAAAAGGTTGGCAAACAGTTTTCTATCAACTTTATAGAGAAAATAAATATAAGACTAATTTGTATTTATACTTTTACTCAGAAATGATTTAAGTATGAAAGTTAAAATTTTAAGTTCAAGGGTTTTAATTGGATCATAAGTAAATAAATGTTCATTTGAATGGAATTTTGTAACATGGAATTTATGTTCAGTGATGCCTTATAACATTTGTTTTTTTATTCATTCAGTTTTTAGTTTTTTAATAGAAATGTTTATTGACACATTATGTGTTTGGAACAGCTGTGAACAAGAAGAAGGGGAGGACTTCATAGTCCTCAAATAAGGACAAGCTCGCAGTAAAAGTAGGATAAACTGAATCCTGGAAATAACATGTTGAGCTGGATCTGTATATTATGTAAATTGAGAAATACATGCTCTCTGAACTGCCTCAAGATCTGTCTGTGGGTCTAGGTATGGTTGCACACACTTTTAATTCCAGTGCCTGAGGCAGAGGCAGGAGGGGAGGGTCTCTGTGAGTTTGAGGTTAGCCAGTTAGGGACAACCAGAGCTAATGTAATAGACCCTGTCTCAGACAGCAACAACAATTAAACAACAAAAAAAAAAAAAAGAAAGGAAGAAAAGATATATATGTGTTCATGCTCTCCCAAATTCACATGCATATTCAGTAGACGGGTTGAGCACCTTTCATTTTCAAATCTGGCTTAATAAAACATCCGCAAGTTTTTTAATGAATAAGCTTTAGTTTCTGTCACTGTTATTTAATAAATTTAGGCAAGATGCTTATTTTTTCTAATCCTGTTTCTTCTTAGACTTAAGTAAGTATCAATCTCTAAGGATATTAGAAGTTTAAAAATTGATACTGAATTTTTTAGTGTGGCTGGGCATGGTAGAACAATCCTTTAATCCCAGCACTTGAAAGATAGGGGCAGGAAGATCTTTGACATTGAGGCCAATGGATTCTACATAATGAGTTCCAGACCAGCAAGGACTATATAGTGATACCCTGTCTCAAAAATAAACAAATACTCTTATGAAATGACTACGATACTTAATTTTTGAAGTATGATTTAGGTATGTTATAGATGGAAGTGTGTTTCTTTAAAAAAAACAACATAAAACTGTGTGTGTTAGTCCATTTGTCATTGTGTATGGTTTAGTTTGTTTTGTGAATCATCAGTTTATAAGTTCCTGGCTCCACATTATTGGTATCAGCAGTTTACTGTTTAGACTAAAGAAGAAAGACAGTGAAGAAGAGAAGGAAGGCAATGAAGAAGAAAAAGACCCCCGAGACCTGGACTCCCGAGACCTTCGGTGTTTCATCTGTGGGGATGCAGGACACGTGCGCCGGGAGTGCCCAGAGGTCAAACTGGCCCGCCAGAGGAACAGCAGTGTGGCCGGTAAGTTTAAATCCCGGACGCCGTTGAGAGGGAGCAGACCAAGGCTGTTGTTGTGCATGCTAAACACATGGTTTACTACGGAGCTACAGCCCCAGTACTAGTGTAATTTGTTTTGGGGACAGAGTTTTGCTATATAGTGCAGGCTGGCCTCAAACTTATGATCTTCCTGCACCAACTTCCCTGGAATTGCCCATATATATATCTGACCTGACTTCAGGTATTCTTTTTTAGTTGATCTGGCCTAGGGGTTTAGCTCAGTGAGAGTGAAAATTTGCTATGTACAAGGCCCTGGGTTTGATTCCCTACAGCATGAGATTTAAAAAAAACAAACAAACAAAACAAACAAACCACAAATTCAGAAAAAAGAAAAAAAATCAATTTATATAGGATTGAAAAGTGTCTTTTAAGCCCAACATTCCTGAGATGGAAACGAGACTGCTTGAACTATATAACATTTATAGACTGTTTCAAAAAACCAGAGTTGAGGGTCCTGGAGAGATGGCTCAGCTATGAGCACTTGCTGCTCTACTAGGAACCTAAGTTTATTTCTCAGCATCCACACTAGGCAATGGACAACTACCTATAACTGCAACTACAGGGGGTTTAGTGCTCTCTTCTGACTTCCATGTACACACACACACACACACACACACACACACACACACACACACACCTTAAAAACAAATAAATGGGCTGGAGAGGTAGTTCAGCAGTTAGCATTGACTGTTCTTCCAGAGTATTCTATTCTATTCCCAGCCCTCACCTGGCAGCTCAAAAATTTGAACTCCAGTTCTAGGGGATCTAGTGGCTTCTTCTTGCCTACATACATGTGGGTGCATAGACATACATGTAGGCAAAACACTTATACACATGAAATAAATTATAATGAAAGTAAAAATTTTAAAACAAAAACCCAAGAGGAAAGGATACAGCTCAGTATGCAAGGCCCTGGCTTTGATCTCAGCTTGGAGTTGGGGTAGAGAGCAGTGGCACATATCTTTCCCTAAAATAATCATTTAAAAGTTCACTTTAGAGCCGGGCGGTGGTGGCGCACGCCTTTAATCCCAGCACTCGGGAGGCAGAGCCAGGCGGATCTCTGTGAGTTCGAGGCCAGCCTGGGCTACCAAGTGAGATCCAGGAAAGGCGCAAAGCTACACAAGAGAAACCCTGTCTCGGAAAACCAAAAAAAAAAAAAAAAAAAAAGTTCACTTTAGTCCAGTCTTTTGAGAATTCTTTGTCTGCTGCTTATGTGTTTATTACTCTACTTTCAATAATCAACATCAACCTTATTTCAAAAAATATAGCTTGATAAAATCAACAAACTTGAAATTTTATGACACTGGAGTTTAGGGTTGTAGCTCAGGGTAGTGCTTGCCTAACATGTGAAATCCTGTGTTCAACCTCTACTGCCACAAAAATAAACACCATTAAAATAATCTTTAGTTCATTGATTTGTATTTATTCACTACTTTTTCCTGTGTTTAGCACTCGCGTCTGTTCCCAGCAAATACAGTGTATTGGACTGAAGAGAAGCTCCTGTTTTACTCAGTTTCCAATACTGAGTTGAACTAGATATGCCCCGTTTGTGTAGGAAGCACAGTTCTTTTGTTCTGAGCGTGTTGTTTGTTTGTTTGTTTGTTTGTTTGTTTGAGGCAGGGTCTCATAATGTACCTCAAGCTGGCCTGGAACTCACTGTGCAGTTCAGATCTTGCATTCATAGAAACCCTTCCACCTTGGTGCTCCAGGCCTTGAGATTTTAGATGTAAAACAACATGCCTGCCAGCTTTTTCTGTATGTTTTGACCTTTTTTTTCTGTGATGTCTTCTCTCAGCAGCCCAGCTGGTCCGTAACCTTGTCAATGCTCAGCAGGTGGCTGGTTCAGCCCAGCAACAGGGTGACCAGTCCATAAGAACTCGACAGTCTTCAGAATGTGTAAGTACTGTGCCTTTGAATGAGTTTGACAAGAAGAGAGCCATTGTATCTGACTCTTCACAACTTTAATTTTGAACCCCTTTTCACATCTTTTCCTAGCTATGTAAGTGCACCAGAAGCCAGGCACTATGTAGTACACTGACTGGTAGTCCCTAATGTCTGGAGGCTGAGGCAGTCTGATGGTTTGAACCTAGGACAACCCTCATCTCCCACCCCCAGGACAGGTTTTGTCTGTGTGGCCCTGGCTTTTTTTAGAACACTCTTGTAGACCAGGTTGGCCTCCAAACTCACAGAGATCCACCTGTCTCTGCCTTCCGAGTCCTGGGATTCCACTACTGGCTAGCTTTCCTAGGAACTTCTTAAAGAGGGAGGGAATTTGTTGTTCATATTTCCCGTGTGCATTGTTTAATTTCAATAGAAACATGAGACAGTTTACATTATTATTAGTTAAATGAATGAAGATTTAATTTCTTGCCTAAGATCTACTAATGGATAACTAATAACTTGAAATCAACTTGAACCCACATGTTTGTATAAAACTTATGCTCTAATTATTTTTTTGTGTTGCTCCTAATTTTCTTTGTCATTTGCCTTTTTCTTGCCTGACTTTTCTTTAAGAATCTAATGGACATTATTTTTCTGGTGTCTAACAAAGCAACTCAGATCTAATTGTGTCTAGAATGCAGTTTATGTTTCTTTCCTGTACTATAGATTTGCTTCTTAGTCCAGTGTTTATAGCCTTAATGTCTGTCTCTCAAAGTCTACTTTTCTCTCACATTTCTTTTCTTTAAATTCTATATCCAGTTAGTCACCAAGCTCTATTGCTTCAGTTTTTCAAAAATAACTCATAAATTGGGGCTGGGGTTGTAGGTCAATTGGGAGAGTGCTTGCTTGCCTAGCATGCACAAGGCCCTGGGTTTGATCCTAGAGCACTGTATAAACCAAGCATGGTGGCACACCCCTGTAATCCTAGTACTTGGAAGTTGGAGGAAGTAGGAGGATCAGAAGTTCAAGGTCATCCTGTGTGTTACATAGTGAATTTGAGGCCAACCTGTGCAGTATGAGCTTAGAAAAACAAAACAAAATAAAATCCTTGTTTGGGTGTTGTGATTCCCAACCTTAGTGTACTACCACTCACTTGAGAGGCTGAGGTGAGCAGATCTGTGTGAATTCCATGCCAGCCTTGTCTACATGGTGAATTCTAGGCTGAGTAGGGCTATATAGTGAGACTTTTAAATAAGTAATAAGTAACTAATCCTTACAGTTCTTTGCTTCCCTCTATCCCTGTATTGTAGTCTCAGGACTGCTGAAGCACAGTTAGCTCTTTTTTTGTTCTGTTTTGTTTTTTGAGACAAGGTTTCTCTGTGTAGCCCTGACTGTCCAGGAATTTGCTCTGTAAACAAGGCCAGCCTGGAACTCAGAGATCCATCTGCCCCTGCCTCCTGAGTGCTAGGATTAGAGCCATGTGCCACCATGCTGGGCTTTATTGCACCCTTTTAATTAATCTCATCAGGGTTTTGTTTTTTTTTTTTAAAGTTTTTTAAAAATTTTATTTAGTTTTTCATTATTAAATCAGAATAACTGTTATAAATTGCAGATTGATTATATTTCTGGTTTGGTTCAAATTTTCAGCAGGTTTGCACTGCTCTTGTATAAATTATATAAACTATGGGATAGAAAAGACACAGAAGCCCTCATTGCTTGTTTCTGTTTAGTTCTTAAGCCTCAGATATGTGTAGGCAGATTTTTGTTTGGGCTGACAGCTCACAAAAAAAATGACATGGAGATTTATTATTAATTATGAGAGCTCAGCCTATAGCTTAGGCTTGTTCCACTAGTGTGGCTGGAGTTGTCCTGCCTGGCCCACAGTCAGGACAAATCTGTCACCTGCCAGTCCCACAGCCGCTCAGACCCAACCAAGTAAACACAGAGACTTATATTGCTTACAGACTGTATGGCTGTGCCAGGCTTCTTGCTAACTGTTCTTATATCTTAAATTAATCCATTTCTATAAATCTATACCACGTGGCTCGTGGCTTACTGACATCTTCACATGCTGCTTGTCATGGCGGCGCCTGGCAATGATTCCTGCCTTCCTGTTCTCTCAATTCTCCTCTCTGTTAGTCCCGCCTATACTTCCTGTCTGGCTACTGGCCAATCAGTGTTTTATTTATTGACCAGTCAGCAACACATTTGCCATTCAGAACATCCCACAGAATACTAGCTCTGTTAACTTAAATTGGCTTACTTATATTAACCTATGTTTTGTCTTGTACCTCTCTTCTGTCTTGCACCTCCTGCTTCCTCTCCTCTGGTGTCTCTCCTGTGCCTAGACTCATCTCCTCTTCATCTCCCTGTGCCTGGAATGCCTGCCTAACCTGTTTCTGCCTAGCGATTGGCCATTCAGCTCATCATTAAACCAGTCAGAAGGCTCCTTGGCAAAAACACATCTTCACAGTGTACAGAAAGATTATTCCACAACAGATATGTTATCCCCTTACCTGTGTATTCTACTACTAAACTTTGAAATTGCAGTTATCTTAAACAGTTCAGTGTTTTCGTGTTCTTAGACCGTCAGGCATGTTTTTCCTGGTGCTAAATACTCTTCTCTGTATCCTCTGACTTACTAGATTTGCTTCTGTTTACCTTTTAGTCTCATTTTAAAGGTTATGTCCTCTGGAAAACTCCTTGATCTCTACATTTCTTGAAAAGTGGAAGTTAGTTTTTCCTATTTATCATTGTATACTATAAATCACTTTTTTTTTTCTTTTGGGATAGTCTCAATTTGTAGCCCAGGCTGGCTGGCAGGGACACAGGATCTTCTGACTTTATCCTCCTGTCTGCTCAGACTACAGATATTACACACTACTGTACCTACTTGTACAATCATAGTAATAATCATACTCTGTAGTGATTACTTGTATAATCTCTTTCTGTTCCCTGATTTCCCTGCTAAGTAAATTTTTAAGCTTCATGAAGGCATACACGTTAGCATTATATTTTAAGTACTTAGTAATAATGCCTAGTACACACAGTTGTTCAGGGAATTGAATGAAAGTGGCTGTGAGTCATTTATATATTCATTTCTGGTTTACAAAGGAAATATTTTGTTCATGATGGGAATGATGCCTCTCTCAATCTCTCTCAATCTCTCTCTCTCTCTCTCTCTCTCTCTCTCTCTCTCTCTCTCTCTCCCTCTCT